CGTTTGTGTCTGGTGTCTTCAATAGATTTCAAGAAACCTCAGTCTATTAAACGCGTCCCTTCAGGTTTGTGAGAGCGGATGGTGGTGATGTTCTTTATCAGCAATGCTTGAGACTTTGTCAACGTTTTTTATTTGTGTTTTGTGTGACTTTTTTTTTTTTTGGCTTTAAATTGTACAACACCAATTTAAGAAAATAAAACTGATTTGAAATTGTTAGTGCTCTGTTGTCAGTGCTTCATGACCCCACTCGGGGCAGTGTCTGAGTGAGGGGTTTCGGGTGTTTGGTGCTACCAGCTTTGCCTTTCAGGTGGAAAAGTGCTGTTATCCCCTTTCCACAGAGGATGAAGATCAGAAAAGCTCCCTTGCCTAAAGCCACATGTGAAGCCTTTGAACCTGGAAGCCATTAAGCCAGTTTCTAGATGGTGCTGTAGTCACTGTTCATCATCCATCCTTCTTACCTGGACATACTCTCCTGCTATGGTTAGAAACTCTGTCATGAGTTGGCAGCAGATCCCTTCCCATCCAGGCAGATGCTTAAATATCATCCCTGTTGCAGTATTTACAAGTTGGAGCAATTTATTAGTTGGCACTCCAGCATGAAGCACGCTGGGGCAGGGGTGTCTGTAGGGACAGTGTAGGTTCGTGGTGGTGTTTTCATGCATTATTTTAAACCCTAGGGGGTTTTAACCAATAGAGTCAGGCAGCTTGTTGCTGTACAGCAGAAGGTACTTCAAGATGAAGTGTGAGCATAGTGGTAAGATTGGGGTATTTTTAATTAAGTATTTTCCTGCCATGTTTGTCCTCGTTGCAGTCTGACATTTGAACACAACAGGTTGGCTTCCTTGTGCCCACGTAGCTGTGCAGAAAGTCACTGGACATGGCAAAAAGTTCAATGAGGATTCTGTGAGCATCGGTCCTGACTTCAGGTGCCAGACAGGCAGTTGTAGTCCCTGCTCTGCATGGAAGGCTTTATGATGGAGAGCTAAGCTCTGCCCTGGGATGTGAGAACCATCCTGAATAAACCAGTCCTTCCACTGAGAGAAACTTTGGCCACAAAGGTGTAAACTTCAGGAGCCAAATACCACAATTCCACCAAACGTTTCCCAGAACTCCTCTTGCTGGACTGTGCATGTTGGCCATGAGCATCCCTGGAGATCCCTGTACGGGGTGACTCCGCACCACCCTGTACAGCCACTTGCCTCTGTTGTCTTTTGGCAAGAAAAGACCCGATTTCAAAATCCTGATTTACCATGAGCTGGAATTGTTCTTTCTTGCTCAGCCCTATTTATAACTCCTGTTTCCTGCCCCTGCCTTTCCCACCGCAGGGAACTGGACACCGCGTGTTCGCTCCGTGAGAATGATCCTGCCTGGAAGCACCAGGCTCTGGTCACTTGACGTTAGCGCTGACTCATGGGCAGGGATTCCTTTTCCCTGCAGCGCTGCTCCACGCCTGGCACCTCAGCATGCTTGGATCTTTGAGGGTTTTGGTGTTGTGGGGGGGATTTAACACGTAAAGCCCCCTTTTGTGTGTAAAACCTTGTGTGTGTTTGTTCCCTGGGCATGGGGTAAAGAATATGTGTGTGTATATAAATATATGTGTGTATATGTGTATATATATATAAAGTTTCTGATACTGAGGGTAAAGGAGGAAGTCGGTTTTGAAGCTCCCTGTGAAGAAGTTTAAGGGTTCAGGTGGAAAACCTATAGCCAAATGAAAGATAAATCACTGCATGTCACACGCCTGTGTAAATAGAGAGTGCTCTGCTGAATCCATAGGACTCTTTCACAGGTAGCAAAGCCTTTGAACCTGGGGAAAGTGCTGGCTGGAGAGACTTAAACAACAGGGACAAACAGCCTCTTCTAACAGCACTAAACCACGGGGCCGGGGCAGTTCACAGCACCAGTGAACATTGCACAACCTTCTAGATGACGACTGTGACGTTTCACTGCTGTTGTTTGAAGGAGAAAACAAACCCAAGCCATTCTTCCAGGGCATTTGGCTTCACTCCCGTGTTTTATATTTAGTTGTTGGTAAGTACGTCAGCAAAAACGTGCTCATTCAACTCTGAGAGATTAGAGGTGACTCAGTGACATCAAGGAAGCAGAAACGGGGTGGGGGGGGGTGTTGCACCAAGATACAAAGACCAAGCTTTAAAGCTCTTTTAAAGCTTTGTGAGGAGTTGACTCCTTCATGGAGTATTTTAGCTCTTCACCTGCATTGTGCCTGGTTACAGCTCCTGTGTGCTCACCTGAGCAGGGTGGTGCTGAGGGAGGGGACAGGCTGTGTGTGCCAGGAGGACCATGCACTGCCATAACTCTGCAGGGCAGGAGCCAGTGCTCTCCAGACAAATCCTAGCGGCTGGATTTGTTTGGATGTATTACCGTAAATGCAGTGCTGGTGCTGGGTGCCATTCCCTAGATGAGGAATGACGCATAGTGCGGGGATACAAACCTCCCTGGGACCTTTCTGTTCTAAAAACAGCATTTTTAGTGACAATAGAGTCAGAACCACCCCCCTCCTGGGAGCTGAAGCCTGGCATGGGATTTGAGTGCTTCCAGAAAACAAATAGTGTGCTTCTAGGAATGAGCTTAGGCAAATGATGTCAAACCCAGGTTTCTGCATTAGGGCTGGTTCAGCCTGGAGAAGAGAAGGCTCCTTAAAGGGAGACCTTAGAGCAGCTCCAGTGCCTAAAGGGGTGACGAGAACCCTGGAGAAGTGCTTTGGACAAGGGCCTGTAGGGACAGCACAAGGGGGAATGGCTTGAACCTGGCAGAGGGCGGTTGAGATGAGACGCGAGCAGAGGCAGCTCCGGGAGGAGGCGGCGGCCGGCGCTGCCAGAGCTCCCCCTGCAGGCTGCTCTGCCCCGGCTCCCGCACCCGCACCGGGACCGGTTCTGCAGCCCTCTCCAAACACGTCCGGCAGGCCCGGGGCGGGGAGCAGCGGGACTCTGGGAGGGAGGGAGGGAGAATGGAGCAAGGAACCCCTGAATGGTTTGTGTTGAAGGCACCTTAAAGCTCACCCAGCTCCAACCCCTGCCACGGGCAGGGACACCTTCCACTGAGCAGCTTGCTCCAAGCCCCTGTGTCCAACCTGGCCTTGAACACTGCCAGGGATGGGGCAGCCACAGCTTCTCTGGGCACCCTGTGCCAGCGCCTCAGCACCCTCACAGGGAAGAGGTTCCTCCTTATACCTAAATCTCTCCTCTGCTGGTTTAAAGCCATTCCCCCTTTCCTGTCCATATAGTCCCTTGTAAAAAGTCCCTCTCCAGATTTCTTGTCACCCCTTTAGGCACTGGAAGACTGCTGTAAGGTCTCCCTGGAGCCTTCTCCATGTTGAAGCACCCCAGATCTCTCAGCATGTCCTCATAGGAGAGGTGCTCCTGCCCTCTTTTGGGGCTGTTTTGAAGGACCCCTGTGAGCCCCCTTATAAACCACTGATAGAGATATCATTATGAAAAAACAAGCAATGTGCCCCAAACCATGTCTCTGCCCCTTTCCTGCAGCTATCTCGCTCCCTGTGCTGACCAGCTGTTCCACAAAGGTGTAATTGTCCGTGAGCCTCCCCATGCACTGCTACCCGGGAAGGTTTTACGAGGCTGATTTCACTGCTGAGTAAACTTGATGGCAGCACTCTCACTTAAGGCCAAGCAGATGTAACGTTTAAAGTGCTTTAATTTTAGCAGTCCTATTAAACACGTATGAAACGTTCTGCTCCTCACATAAACAGCAGGGGACTTTGTGGGCTGTTTGCACCGATTCCAATTCAATCCAATCCAATCCAATGTGTGTGAGAGGAATGCAGCCCCTTGTTCGTTTGGTTCCTGAAGACGCTGGCTGTGCATTGCAAATCAAATCCAAGCCAGTCTGCTGGCATTGCAGGCCCCACACAGGGATCTGCAGCCGTGCTCGGCCTTCCCGGGGCTGCCTCCCACAGCACTGACCGAGCGGCGCCTCTGTCAGGTCGCTTTGATTCCTCCCTGCCTTCGGTAGCCGCCTGTTTAAAGGCAGAAGAGGGAAATCAAAATGGAAGAGGCAGCGTGTGCTGGGGCACGTTGAGAGCAGAGCTGGTGCTGCCTGTTTTGAAGCCCCTTTGCTGCTCCTGAATACGTAAGGGGCTGGGATACCAAAGCTTTTCCCCCCATGGGATACCCATGCGAGTCTTTCTCCTGCCCCACCACTGTTCTTCCACTCCAGCTGGAGCCTCCTTCCCTTCCTCACGTTGGGAAAGCGGTCAGGAATCACGGCGGGGAGGGAGCAGGAAGCCATGGCGGTGGTTAATGGACAGACGGGCACAGCACAGGCTTCACTTCCCAAGGAAACGAGGCAAAGCCGCAGCCGCCCTGGCTGCAGCGATAGGACCGTGCCTTCCCGCTCCCCTTGGAGCAGCGCTGTGACAGCACATCTTCTATCACCTCTCTGAACACGGCGCCGCCGGAGCCGGCTCCCCCCCGCCCCGTCCCGCTGCAGGAATAACTCGGAGGTGCCGGTTCAAACGGACGTGCTGCACCGCTTCCCCTTGTTGCACAAGTAACCGCGTGTCTGACAGCGTGGCCTGGCTGGGGACCTCATCCCGGCGGGACAACGAAACCGTGGGTGCCTGTGCTGGATGCGGACACCGGCTGCGTGGGGAAGGGTGAGCAGGGAGCCTCCATGGAGGGGATGCGGAGCTCCCAAGGACAGGGCTGTGTGCCGTGGCTGTTCCCTCCCTGTGCTGCCGGCAGGGCTGGTTTCCTCGCGTGGCTTTGTGCCCTTACACCGCTCATGTTTACCGCAGCGTCGCCGTTCAACCGCAGAGCCACGAGGAACACCGAGAACCGCACCGCGCTGTCCCTGCGCGGCCGCCGTAACGCTCACGCGGTTCTCCCACGCCGCGCCTGCGCAGCGCCGTCGCTCCGCAGCGGCCCTGTAAGTGGCGGCTTCGGCGGCGGGAAGCGTGCGGCCGGGGTTGGGGTTGAGGCCGCGGCTTCTCCCACCCGTGGCCCGGGCTGCGCTCGGGGGGCGATGCTGCGGCTGCGCTGGGGGCTGGCGGCTCTGAGCTGCGGCCTCGCGGCCCCGGGGAGCGCGGCGTGCGGAGGGCCCTGCCGCCGGCTGCGCTGCGTGCGTACCGCCGGGCCCTCAGCTAGGGACCGCGGGGAGGCCGGGTGGGCAGCGGGGGAGCCGCCTCGGCTCGGGCCTTTATGGCCCCGCTGGTGCTCTCGGGCTGTGGGCAGCGCCGGCTCAGCCCCCTCCTCGTTCATGGGGCCTGAGGGGAGAGGGCAACGAGTGCCCGTCTTGCCTCCGGCTTCTTTTAGAGCCCTGCGTCCCCTTTGGAGCTGCCAGCTGTTCCTTGCTGACTCCCCTCTGTTACTGTGTCTCTTGCAGGTCCTTATGATGGCTGAGGATCTGAGAGCAGCGGTTGCCAGCCAGCCGAAGAGGCTGAGCAGCAGCAGTGAGGTAGTGGAGAGGATAGAAGAAAATGGGCATCAGAATAAAAGGTTGAAGAGAGATGCAGATGAGGAAGATGGGGAGGATCAGAATAAAAGGTTACCCAAAAGGAAGATTGTCTTGCTGATGGCATACTCGGGGAAAGGCTACCATGGGATGCAGGTATGTGGTTTGACAAAGTGACGTGATCTGCTTTAGTTTTGAAGTCTGTTAGGTCTGTAACTAGTCACAGTGACCAAGTAGGGAAGCGGCTGTAGCTTGAGAAGCTGGGGCAGGAGCAGTGCACGCCTGGGTTCAAATGTCTCGGTAGTAGCTTGAATGAAAAAAGACAGTGTTACAGCTCAGAGTATTTCAGTCAGCCTTTAGTATAGAGCATCAGCACAAATCTCTCAAAAACTGCTGCAGAGAAGGCTCTTGAGGAGACTGAAAGCACTGTTCTGTCAAACCCCAGTGCTGTCTAGTGATCCCCTTTTCACCAGTGATCCTCTTCTGACCGGTGCTCCAAAGCTTCTGCTTGAAGCTTTGTATTTCAAAGCAGTTGGGTTAAATTTCTAGGTTAGACCTCAGGTTGTCTCACGTGCACATTTTGGATGCCTGACACATGTAACAGAGTTAAATTTGCATCTGTGTTGCCATTTCTTGTACTTTCACAAAGATTATCTGTGCTTGAAAACATTTGAAATTGGCCCTTCTCTGATGCACTCTAATGGTGTGGCTTGTAGCAGTTTAGAAACAGGAAAACTGTTGCAAGACATCTGTGTTTGCATGTGGAATAAAAGGGATGTTGCTTTGTTACAACCCCAGACTCCAGGCCTGCCCTGCAGGGATGGTCTTGTGGCACACAGTACTGGCAGCACCAAGATGATGTTGCTCCATCTGCTGCTCCGCTCAGTGCACTGCAGGCTCCGCAAGCAATTGAGTACCTTAAAAGCTCCACAGGATAATTGATAAGATGCACACAGATGGGGAACGGAGTCTTTCATGCTTATGCAACAACATAGATCTGTTCAACAGCAGTAAGCCTTATGCTTGTGGGCACATCCGTGTAAGTGCCTATTAACTTTACTGCTAATTGAGTGGTATGTGTCGAGGAGGTGTGCTTCACAGCCTTACACGCCAGTGGAGTTGTGCATCTGTTGCTCATCTGTGAGTTGAATGCAAAGTCACTGGAGAATACCATAGTCGTCTGCACAACAGCTCAGGTGAACTGAGCAACAGAACCCAACACCATTTCTACAAGTAGAATTGGCAGAGAATAGGCTGGGAGCAGTAGCTGTTAACTCACAGTTAGTGTTAACTAAAATAGTATTAACTTTTTCATTGGTGCCCTCTCAAGCAATTGAAGGACTCATTAAAATGCTGCAGAAGCATTGCACAATGAAATGGGAAATGATCCTTCACTTGCAATAACAGTAGAAGGTAAATCAGGATGTAGAAGTTTTATTAACACTCTCTGGTACGGTGTAATTAGCTTTGTTAGAGAATGGCAGTGTTTTTAGGGCTGTGAAGGGAAGACTTTCAAAGAATTTACAACAGTGTTCAATTAACAAAGCTTTTCAGTTATCCAGTTATTACTGTTTGTTCTATTTCTTCTTTTTCTCTAGAGAAATGTAGGATCTTCACAGTTCAAGACGATTGAAGATGACTTAGTATCTGCCCTTGTTCAGTCAGGCTGCATCCCAGAAAACCATGGGGAAGACATGAAGAAAATGTCTTTTCAGCGGTGTGCTCGAACAGACAAGGTATGTTGGTTAGGACCTGTGCTCTCAAACTGGTGTACTTCCACCAGTGTTACTGGGGTTGACTGGCAAAGTATTCTCTAGAGTGAGATCCAATAGCAAATACTATTCACAGCGACTGCTGCTTGAAAATTCTCCTTTCATCCACTGCTAAATTCAAGTACAAGCAAGTATTTAGAAAGAGCACATTATTGATTAGATGGTGTTTGTAAAACTGGTGCTTTGTACTGAAGCTTTGTGTTTGCACGTTCAGCTGCTTCAGCCTCTCAACCTGCTGCTGCAGCTTCTCATTGCTGTTGTCTGGTTGATGTGGTGCTTGAGAGTTTAGCTGCATCTTGGTTGTTTTTTAAGCCTGCCACAGTGAGGTTCTGAAGTCTGAACTGGAGTTCAGAGCTGATCTTAAAGTTGGCGCTTTATTTAAGAGCAGTCAAATACAGTGAGATGTCATGGAGAGGAGTGCAATGTTCTGCTAAGGTTACTGAGGTGTGGTATGACTGTACAGCACCAGCAGGTCTTCCAGGAGTGGTGACTTGGATTTCTGCCTGTGGCCTTGCCTTTGCCTTGCTTCAGCCTGAAATGACCAGTCAGGAAAAGGAATAAACTTGTTCTTCAGCTATTTCAATTCTGAAAGTGCTATCCCAGGGGTTCCAAGGCACATAATTGATGTGGTTGTGTTTTATGGTTTTTACAGGGTGTATCTGCAGCTGGACAGATTGTGTCACTAAAGGTCAGGCTAATAGATGACATCTTGGAAAAGATCAATAACCATCTTCCTTCTCACATCAGAATTCTGGGTAAGGATACTGCAATGGGCAGATAAAATGTTTTCAAAGAGGAGCTCTCCTGCAGAAGGTCTCTCTCTTACTATTATAATTTTACTTACAAACAGTTTAGTTTTAATATAGGTATGTATGTTTCTGTAAGCTTGAAATTAGGGCCCAATAAAATAAATTCTTTTGATTGTATCTTATTTAAAAAAATATTCTTGTTGGTAGGAGCAAGATGACAGTCAGGTTGTCACCTACTGATTCAAAAACCTAATGTCACTTTTAAAACAAGGTCTGAAGAGAGTCACTGGGGGATTCAACTCCAAGAACAAGTGTGATGCCAGAACCTACTCCTACATGCTGCCAACGTTTGCCTTTGCCCATAAAGACCATGATGTGCAAGAAGAGGTTTATCGACTGGACAAGGAGACCCTTGAAAGAGTAAATAAACTGCTTGCATGCTACAAAGGAACACACAACTTCCACAACTTCACATCTCAGAAGGGACCCAGGGACCCCAGTGCGAAGCGATACATAATGGAGATGTACTGTGGGGAGCCATTTGTGAGGGAAAACATAGAATTTGCAGTGATCAAAGTGAAAGGCCAGAGTTTCATGATGCACCAAATAAGGAAGATGATTGGGCTGGTGATAGCTATTGTGAAAGGCTATGCTGCGGAGTCTATCATTGAGCGCAGCTGGGGAGAGGAGAAAGTTGATGTCCCCAAAGCCCCAGGACTTGGGCTGGTCTTGGAAAGAGTACACTTTGAAAAATACAACAGACGGTTTGGAAATGATGGGCTGCATGAGCCACTGGAGTGGACAGAGGAGGAGGAGAAGATTGCTGTTTTCAAAGAGCAGTATATCTATCCTACCATTATCAACACAGAAAGGGAGGAGAAATCCATGGCAAACTGGCTAAACACCCTCTCCATTCATGACTTCAACTCTTCCGCTGTTGAGACGCAAGCTAACAACAAAACCTCAAAGGTAATGATTGAAGCCATTATTTTAGCAAATGGAAGCTGTCAAGTTGAAGTGGCTCTTCCCTTAGCAACATTTTTGTTTTCCATTAATATGCCATGGAAGATGACAGTCATCTGGAGTATGAAATGTGTGTTATCTTCTCTGTGCACTTGATGATAGTGGAATGAACTATACAAGTGTTATTTTGTGCAGGGGCAGTTGAAGGAGGGAGGAAGGGATGCTCTAAAGCACAGGCCAAATTGCAAAATCTTGAACTGGCAACAGAAATTGTAGACACATTACCAGCCTTTGTGAAGCTGTCTGAGAGATTGGTTTTCAGGTTGACAATTTCCCTTCAAATATCTGCTGGCTTTTTGTATTCTCTGATGTGGGGCTGATTCTCTCTTTGTGTAATGCCCTGTTCACTCACTAAGGTTTGGAACCAGTGGGAAATCTAGGACCAGGTTTTCTAGGTAAATCTGCCATGAGTTCAAAATGGGTCATCAGAACAACTACTGAGTAAAATGGGACAACAGGGACTGCTGTCAGCTGGATGTTGCAATAAAATAAAGAGTACATCTTTTTAATTAAGAAAAAAAAAGTCAATTTAAGCGTATGGGGGGTGTTAAATATTTGTTTTTTCTGGTTGCCTCACCAAAAAAAAAGACTGGAAAGATGTTTGGGGCATGTTAGGAGTAGGTTGAAAACCGCATGAGGAATCTTGAGTCAAGCTCTTAAGTATTGCTTTAAATTGACAACTATTGGAGTGACTGAAAACAGTGCTTGATTGGACAAGTCCCTTGTCAATCTGATCTAACTTTGAAGCAAGCCCTGCTTGAGTGTGGGGTTGGACTTGATGACCTAAAGATACCTTACAGTTCTGTATGTAATTAAGATTTTCTTGGCCAGAGGATTGGCAAGTCCTTGAAGGACAAATAATGGGCAGGGCTAAAATGTCTGTATAGTGCAACTCAGAAGAAAATAATGGCCTTTCTTCAGTTAATGGAATCCTTAATTATCTTTATTTTGTGTAGATAATGAACCTGCCCTGAAGAACATCCAGTTTAATCTTGTCTGCCATTTTTTGTTTGAGTATGGAAAAGAGTTTCAGTATATTAAACCAAAATTTACAGCCTTGTTAAGCAGTACAAGCAAGATACCAGAAATTTCTCAGGGTTATTTCTGTACTTGGGGTAATTGTTCTTCTGAAGTATAGTGCTGTACGGGGGCATGTGTGACAGGAGGTTATGACAAATGCCACATTAGTTTGGTTAAATGGGACCCAAAGAAACCATGTGGTGTGGAGAGTCTTTACTTGGCTCAGGGGTCATGATGATAATGTCGACAGGATTTACTGCTGCCGGGTTCCAAATCACCGATGTATTGCTGGCAGGAGGCAGGTCTGCTTCTTTAGATAAACTTGAGCAAATACAGTTTTGGCGTCGTAGTTAGCTGTCTGGAGGAGGATAAATTAAGGGATGATACGGCAGACTTCTTTGAGATCTTGCAGACTGCTTGCACTTCAGTGAGCTGTGCTTGCTGTTACAAAGGCAACTGTCTAGGTCCTGCAGAATTTCTTTTGTAGTAGGATATTAAACTGTCAATGCTAAATTTGTGGGATTTGGAGGTTTTATATGTTTTCAGCAAGCAGTGGTGAGGCAAAAAGGAACAACTAGAGACATATTGTCATGTTAGCCTTTCTTTATGAAATCCTTTGATGCCAATCATAGCAGTCAAAATACTTGCTTCATAAAATTGTGTCACCCTCCCAAGTTCATTGACTTACAAAGGAGTGGCTCCCTGTTAAGAACTCAGACTTCAGTTTCCTTTTAAGTTGCAAACACTTGTAGTATTTCCCTAATACTACTTTGTACAACTGACTTCATTTTTACACAAGTCTTAGTGAGCCCTTGTATCTCTAATACAGTTTGGACATAAAGTCTCTGCAGCAGGCAAACAAAATGTAACAAATGGCTTTTGAGGGATTTGCATGAAACAAAGCACTTTGTTAACTTGTCTCACCTGCATTTATTTTAAACATTAGCATTAGTGCTATTATCCCCCAGGTCAGTTTCCCACATACAGCACACTAATTGTGTAGTTGTAAATACAAATGAGAAGAAATTTCTTCTGATGGTGAGTGTAATCCAACACAAAAGTTTTTTGCTACAAGAAACATCATTTACCATCACAGAATTTTGTTACAATAGATAAGTCTAAGATACAAAGCTGGGATCCAGACCCATTTTCTTACACTTTTGGAGAAGCGTAAAGTCAGTGTCTCTGGCTGAGGTCAGTCTCTAGATGTATATGGAATACTGATAAACCATTTTCCATTTTACTTTACAGAACAGCAGCGATCTTGATGGCAGTGATGGTTCTGATGGTGATTCTGACTGAGCCAATAAGTTGCTGAATGTGGGACCCTTGCTGCTTGCAGCTCCCTGTGTCTACAAAGAAGTGGCCTTTCTAAATCCAAGAATCCAGTCAAGCAGGGGTTTGTGTGCTTGCAGATGAGAACCGGATGCCCCAGGGAAACCGGGTGGGGAAGACAGTACAGTAGGAAAAATAAAAGAAGCTTTTTATACCACTGACTGATACACTTGAAAATAGTATAAAGAGAAAGCAGCATTCTAAAGGAGTCTTGTACTGCAGGATATCTTAACTGCTGTTTGAATAATGTTTTTATTATATGTTTACCTGGAAGATAGTATTTTAAATATGTATAATCTCTACATAAAGATGGGGCAAATGATTTTAAAATACTCTTTTTTTATTGTTATTATTACGATGTTATGACTCCATGAACTTTTGCTTATTTTTTATTACTTTCTTTACCTTTACTCTCTAAACATCCTTAAGCTTTTATTTTCCATGTCTTCCATGACTTTCCGGTGGAATAACATGCACGGTTAGAAACTCATTATCATGTTGTCTGCTGCGAGTTCTGTTAGGATTGAAACAAGCTTTCTGCATCCTCTAAAGCTTTGCAAGTCTGAAAGAAATGATTCCTTAGTGACGGATCTTAATTTCAGAAGATGGATTGAACCATGTATTTCAATATGAGACCTTGCCTTTGGGAGTATTGCCCATGTGCTTGGGCAAACTCAAGAATATAGATCCACAGCTGTGTGTTTCCACAGGTGTGGATCCACACCTATAGTTGAGAAGAGATGGTGTATGTTAAGACTGCAATTCAGAGCGTGCAGCCATGGATGTTCTAGTGTTGCCTGTGGTGGATCACTAAATGTGTTGCTGCTGGTTTAGTATTTCTGGTTTTAGTGGAAACTATCCAGTCATCTGCTAGACTTGGGGTTGAATCAACTTGGTATGCGTGAAAGGAATGGTGCTGCCTGCATTCATTCTCTGTGCGTGAACTCTTAATTCCTATCAAGCTGCTCAGAATGTGTGCAATAATATGGGAAACTCTGTCTTCCTTTGGGAATGAGGTGTAATTTTCTGTGGTTTGGGGTTCTGTGTACTATGGAGTTCTTGCTTTCCTGTCCCCACTGTGGTTTCACTTGTGGGTCATGTTTCCAGCTCTCTGTGGAGGTAGTAGAAGAAAAAACAAGTTAAGGCAGCAGCCCTCCTGCCCTGCCTGCCTATAGAACACTTTTGGAAGGGATGGAACAAGACTCCCTAAGCATTTGGGTATTACTACAAGCACTTGATACACTTCCCGAGCTGGGTCTGTATAGTTACTGAAAATGAGTGGTCGTTCAGTGGTTCCTGCCCAAAGCCTCTAATTTTATGTCTTATTCTGGAATTTGTTTTGACCTGCCAGGGCACAGGTGACCTTTGAAAAGGAATTCAGTTGTTTGTTTTATCTGGGTTTTAATCAGAGCTTTTTATTTTATCTTTAAGGCCTACCTCTATTTTATAAGAGCAGTGTGTAAAAGTGTTCTGGAGAGGGACTCTACCTAGATTTTCATCTCTGCCCCATGCTGCTTCATACCATTGACCTAATCTCGCATTAGTCTTCTATCCAAAACTCTTTGTATCCCTTTCAATCTAACAAACACCCCTGCCCTTATTTGCTTATAATAAAGGGCCCCAAACGGACATGTATCTCAGATCTCAGATCTTCTATTTATAGCCTTTGGAGAAAACAAACTAGTAATAATAATTAAAAAGGGTATTTCTTACCTCTTGGTATGTGCTGGTTTATTTCAAGGGGATTGTTTGGTATTTCAACTCCAGTTTTGGACCAGGAGCTCCATAAAATACTTGACCACCACCACTATACAGAAGTGGTCTAAATTCTAAAGGGGACCCTTTGAAAGCTCTCGGCATGGGCAGCGTTCAGGGGCAGAGAGCAGCCGGAGCGCTGTGGTGGGCAGAGGCCTGAAGGGCTCGGGTGCCTCCCGCACAGCCCCTCTCAGGGGCTTGCACACGGACCTGCCCCGCGTGTGGCTGTGGGATGCGGCTTGTGAGCTTCATGGGGGGAGAGGAAACGGATTCCCGCAGGGACACGGGGATCCTCCGCCACTGCCCCGGTCCCACTTGACCGCGCCATGCGGAACGAACCCGCTCCGCGCATGCGCCCAGCGCGGCGCCGCACCCCTGTGCGGGTGGGATGTCCCCCCTCAGGTGAGGCGGGGATGGCTCCGCTGAGCGCGGCGGGGCCGCGGCCGTGAGGGGGCGCTGCGGTGGCGGGGCCAGGCGAGTTGAGGGGCGGGTAACGGCACCGCAGGAGCGGCCGCAGGCGGGGCCTGGGTGCGTGCTGAGGCGCGAACGGGACCCCGAGCGGGGCTACGGGCATGGTCCGGGGGCCCGGTGAGTGCCGAGGCGGTCACTAAACTGCATCCTCCCCGCTGGGCACCGCAGCCCCCGTGGCGGCGGCAGGGTCAGCACGGAGCCTGTCAGGACGCTCCTGACCGGAAGGCTGCAGGGAGCGGGTCTGCGGCGCCGAGCAGAGGGTCGGTACCGAATTGTCCCTGTACATCCCGATAACTTTATCTTCGCGCTGGAGCTTCTTCGCAGCCTGGCCTGGCGGTACAGCGTTCTCAAGGCAGCGTTTAAACCCTGCCTGGGTTTATATTAATTACAAGTATAATGTGTTAATACATGGCTGTAATGTACTTACAAATCATGCTGCCCCTCAAACGACAGTGTTTCAGGAAATGAGAGGTCAGGGAACTGCTTTAGTGATGCCAGGCATCACTCCGTTGTTCCAGCTTCCATCATCTCCAGAGTATGGCTGCGTGCGAGGGGACTGTCCTCCCTCAGTCTCAACACCATGCCTCTATGGGCTGGAGAAAGCCTGAAGCATTTGTTGACTGTCCCTTCGAAGTACCTATGTACCCAGCCAAGACTCACTATGTGCTGCAGGAATCCTCTGTCTCCGACTGATAGAAGCAAAGTAACTGGATAAATCTACTGGAATGGTAAAGGATTCAAGTGGTTAAACCGAGTTAAAAGGTTAATAACCATTGAGATGGGCTCTCTTTCTAAAAAGTTGGGCAAAAAGCAATTCTGGGAGCATAAAAACAGTTTCATAGCAAAATAAAGAGTGAATTCAAAGGTAAATGTGAATAGAGCTTTGGAAGTGGTAGACTGATGCATTATTGTATTGATAACAACTACTTTATTTAGTTAACTTTATTTTAGTTCCAAAATAGTACTTCATGTAGAGACTCATAATTAGCCTTGATAACAGCTTTAAAAAAGTTGTCACAACCTTTAAAGTAATGCTGGTACATCTAGTACTTACATTACTCATTTGTGATAGAATATGTATAATTAAATGTAAGTTTTAAGCTTTGTAATTAAAGATAATTGCTTTAATAAGCTTTTCTGTAAGTGTAGCATTATATCTAATAGCAATTATTACATCATTTAAAAACTCTGTGGAGAATATATTAGAAAGCACTGAAGAAATATATTAGTGAGCACTGCACATCTTGTTTTCACGCACTGGGCTTAAGTTTGCACCCTCTGTACCTAATTTGTTGTTTAATTAATGTTGTTGCATGAAACCTTTCCTTTTTGGTCATTTGATGCCCTGATGAAGGTTGGTTGCCCTGCTGGCACCTCTCTGGAGGATGTTGTTAGAAATAATCTTTGTGTTGTTAAATTAAAGAGCTGGTAAGTACATTCTAGACAGTTGGCATGCTGATTGATTTGCATCTTTATAGCTTTTAGGTGTGCAGTTTTACTGTGGTATGGTAGAAAGTTGATTTGACCAGCTATGTAACAGTCTGTATTGCCAATTTCTTTGGTTCTTTTTGATATTCTACTATTTTAATTACTGAAATCATAATTGTTAGAAGTTTCTCTATAGGTGGGATGACTTCTGTTCCTCAAGTGGCTCAACAGATTAGCCAGGAGCAAAATCAACAGCAAAATGGGCCAAACTTGTCAAGTTTGCATAATTCCTTACCTGTTCTGCAGAGTGGGAGCCCAGCTTTTCTTCAGCAGGTACAACGAGCAGGCTGTGACTTTGGTACCGACTCCAGCTCCTGTAAAAAAAACAAGTATCAGGTTTGCATATTATTGTGTACGTGGCTTTGAACATCTGTTTTTTATGAGTTGTCATTGCTGTTGTTGTCTATTCTGTACCATTAAATAGTCTGTCTGAATACTGGGAAGAGAGTATCCTCAGAAACAGTAACACCTGTCTCATTAAGAAAGTCTAGACAAGATTAATTTTTTGGCACTTCTGCTAGTTTCCCTTGAAATTTTACTTCTGTGAACATCTCTGTTCATTTATGTCATTTGCTCAGCTCACGTAGTGAATGTTATCTGGAGGTAAATATAGCTTCATGAATAATTTCAGGCCTTATATGTCATGAAGGAGAGTGCTTCGCTAATCCTAGCTGGTGCAGCTGGCTCACTGCAGACATTTGAGTTTTGATGTGAGGTATTCTCAGGCAGCTCTCGCTTGTTATCTGATGACTTCTATTCATGGTCAGTTTTGTACACGCTATGTTTTTCTTCGAGTGCTCTGCATTGTAGCCCTACTTGAGGTCTGACTTGCTATTGAAGAATTGTTTAGTAATTCATAGCTATATTTGAAGCTGAATATGTTCATATTTGTCATTTCCTTCTGCTGTTCCCCCCCACCCCTCTGTCCGTTTTAGGTGGTAGCTTTAAAACCGCAAGTAGAGTTAGAAGAAAGGAAGAAGACAGCATGAAACTCACAGAACCAGGTAATAAGGACTTGACCAGGTCAAAACCAGGTAATAAGGACTTTGACCTTTTTTTAACTTTTGCATACTGGTAGTATAAGCCTACCAAAATGAATATTTAGGAGCTATTATTTCAATCTTAGTTTTTAGTCATAAATATCTCCTTTCTCTAGCTTGCTAACTTCCTGTAGCTTACTAAAGCTTTTATAAAGACTTTTTGTTGCTGAGCTCTTGTTTGTATCTGGGTTAGTTTTACGTCCCTTGTGAGCCACGAATGAGACTGAATTCATGTGTGCACCTGCAGATTGCCCTCTTTATGTAGGTTTTTGCCCTTTTTACTGTAAGATTTTACAAACTTACAATATTCTTTAGGGTAGAATTCTTATGTTCTTTAGATGCTGAATTAACTGTAGATAGCATCAAGTCTGTGAATGAATGATTCGTCTTGGATATGGCAGCACTATGATTTTTATTGTTTTGTGCAGAAATAAGAGACTGATTAAGAAAGAGAACCTTCAGAAGGAAGTGGTACTTCCAGAACTTCTCACATTTACTATAGAGAAATATGTGCCAGATTTAGCAGATGCTGCTGCTGCTGCAGAAGTGCTGTTACCCAGAAGCAGTGCTCAAATCATACCAGTCTTAGAGTCTATGAAAGTCTGGGCTGGAGTAGTTGGTAAAGCCGTATAAGATAAATCTCAATGGCATGCTGGCTGATGAACCTGGACTTGGAAAAACAGTGCAAGTTGTTGCTTTTTTTTGCACACCCGGCATATAATGAAGGTATGAAATATTATAGCTCTTTTGTTTTATAAATCTGTATTTTTAACAGTTCATTGGTTGAATGCATTTTCTGTAACAGGAGAAAAAATAATTGCTTTTAATATGTATAGTTTAAAGAAATGTATCTGGAATAAATCTTGTAAAAAAATATGCAATTCCTTTCATTGTTAGTGCATGTTGTCGAGATACACACATTTGCCTTTTATTGTAACTCTGAAGTGTTATGCAGTCATTTCCTATCATGCTGTACCTTTTATCTCCGTAGGTAACTGGGGTTCTGTTCTTGTTGTTTCACAAAACTTGAATGTGCTGAAGTGGGAGATTTGAACTGAAATGCTTGTGTCCTGCTTTGAAAATTCTTCTGCATCTTGGAAACCCATGAGAACTTTTTTGAAGAAGATGGGTATTGTGGAACAATGTACTGGGTAGTGTAACTAGTACACAAGGAAAATATCAGCCTGAGTTATGGTTATACCATTGTGATTAAAAACTTCAGCATAGTCATTTCACAACTTGTTTCTTCTCTCTTTTGTTGTGAGCATACTGGAAAAATGAAGCTATTTTCTTATTTCATAAGTACTGGTTCATAAGCAGAGTTTGGTATTCCCCAATAAAAGTTGCTTTGCTGACCAGCAATTCTCAATCTAATCCTAGAGGAGGAAACAATAATCTCTGCTATTAAAGCCATCAAAGAAAGCCTTTAGGATTTTGTGGTTTTACATTGCAGGAATGGACTAACCCCAAGACCTTCCTCCTGCAAGCAATTCTTTAAAGACTGTGAAGCATTCATGAAAGTACAATGCAGGTACCTAGTTTTAGATGAAAGGCAGAATGGTAACAATCTGACACAGGAGCGCTGGGATGCAATATTCAATCTCCAGAGGTCTGAAGCATTCATTCGAATTTTTCTTATTGCTTTTGTCCATCAGTTACTTTCTGAAACAACTGCAGTGTTTAAAATGACAGGGTTTAATTTTTTCTTTGCTGTGATCTAATTAAGTTATGAAATAGATCTTAATTATTATTTTAATTATCTGCAGTCATCATTGTTTACTCTTGATGGATATACTTTTGCCTACTGCCTTAAAAGATGTGTGGGCCATTGCCAGTTTCCTGATTTCAGGGATTTCCCAAATCTATCTGGATTTTATGGAAGTAGCTTCTGTGGAGGGGAATAAAGATCATTACCAGAGAGTTGCAGTAAGACTACAGAGTACATCTCCCTTGAGGATAGTGTCTTAACTCTAGTATCTTTCTCTGAGGAAATAAAACTAGGAAATCATTGCATTCTATTATTTTGGGTAATGCAGTCATTCATTTTGCAGAGGTCCAAAATTCACATTGAGAAGCTGTTACCAAGAAAATACTACCACGTGCTTACATGTACTCTTTCTGATCAGCAAAAGTCAATGTATGAAGACATCTTGTCTCAACCAAGGTCCATCTGTTGAGGGTGGTCATTCATCGTTAAAGTTAGGAACTGTTCCAGTTACAATAATAGAGCTTGTTTGCTGACGTGTTGTTTCTAAGTTAGTCATGGGCACTCCTAAAGCCCACATTAAAGCTCATTGGCATAAGCGTAGTGTTGTGCAGGCTAATCATGTTTTACACTAAGTGGCAATTGCATTCAGCATTTTCTTCCTCTTGTGTTTATTTATTTATATCAAGTGATTTTACAAGGTAAAAAGAAACATAAATAGCCCATAATCTTCAATTACTATATATGGGACAAAGTATTTATAACTTGGGCAATTGATCATGCATCACAGGTTTTGTCTAAATTTAGTTCTTCAGTCATTTAGGAACTGCATATCTTAGGTTATATGGTTACATTGCTTTTCTGATATGTCTAGTTTGTATTTCCCAGTGAAATTGGTATTTTAAAGTTATATTTATTCAGGCATTTTGAAAAAAGACCTCAATATTGACAATGTGTTTCATATACTATCTGCTGTAATTTCAGTTTGAAATAGAGTGGCTATTTGAGAAGTGTGAGATTTAAAATCAGAATATATTCTGTAAATTATTAAATGTTTGTGTGAATGTGAGAGAAGCTGGAGGAGTGGAAGACTGCATTTTTAAACATACTTTTCTGTGTTTGATAACTTGGTGTTATCAGATTTATTCAGAAAAACAAAGCGAGTGTGCAGAAATACCTAAGCTCCTAAAAAGCACTGGGTTTTTTAAAAGATAATTTAAATTACATTTTCATTTTAAATAACAGAACTCAAGAATATCTCAGAAGTGGGCACTTTGTCGGCGTCCTCCATGTTCTGACGCAGATGCTCAGGGTGTGTAATCATCCTGATCCGTTAAGTCCTTGGCTTCCAAGTTCTTCCTGTGTATTAGACATGCTGGAGTTTACAATTGCTTCTCTAGTGCTGAATGCATTAGAATGGGATCTTTGGAAGGTGAGTAGGGAAGTAATTCTCTTGTGCTTGAATTGACTGGGAGAGCTGGGGGCTTAGGACATAAAACTTCTTACACATAGTTCAGGTTCCATTTAAATATTTAACTCTGTGTTGCCAATTAATTTATATTCAGAAGCAACTACCAAGATTATGTATAACCATTGACTTTATGGTAGTACTGGATTTAGCAGGTGTGCTGAGAATATGCTATACTTCTCAAAGAAGGTCAGGCTGTTTTGCCACATTTTCTGGTTTTGCAACATTTTCTAGTTTTGCTTTAAGTTCTCAATTAACCTAAACTGATGGGTCTTGAAATCAAGGGACAGATGTAATTCTTACCCTGTCCTGAGGAGTAGTAAGGGCATAGTTAAACTGTGTACAGCTCTGCAGATGAGAGGCTGTGTCAGATTCCACAATTCAGTTTCAACTATAGCCTGTTAAAAGTTACATTGCAAGGGGTTTAATCTGTTTTTTTCTAGTGATTCCAGCCATACTACCTGTTTAAGGAAAACTGGACAAAGCTGCAACAGTAGCATTGTGTGTCCTGGGAACTTCAAATAATTACTCCTTTGAGCCACTTGGGGAAATCATTTGGGGGTGGGTGGACAGGGTAAGTGTCCAAGACTTGTGAAGGAAGTAGTGTTAACGTATCAAAGTGGGAATGGATGAGTCTGGAATGTCAGTTCTACAAAGACAAATACTTTAATCACAAGCATTGAATTAATTGCAGAGCTTGTAACTTGAGGTGCCATCCTGGTTTAGACTCTGGTAACATGAGCATAATGCTCTAATTTCATGGTGTAGGTTGCTGAAACCTTTTAAAGTAATGACAGCTGCTCTCTGCAAAATCACATAACACTTTACAACGTTCTTCCACATTTTGGTTTGATTCTGGCATCAGCTCTGAGCTTTTTAATCATTCTCAGATAATGTAGTACTGTTACCTTTTTTTACTGCAACTGAATGGTTGAATATTTCTTTAGGTTGAGGGGTTGGTTTGTTTGGTTTTTATAACTTAAGCATGCAGACCAGTCTGTCTTTGATGTGATTGGGATTGAACACCAAACTACTTACAAAGCACAAATACTGCTGAAACTGAAGATAACCAGGAAGCTTATTGAAGAGATCTGCTGTTCTCCTTCATCCCCAGTGAAGCTCAAACCAAACAGGTATGCAGCGGTCCAGTGACTGATTTGTTTAAGTAACAGGTGAAAGCAAGTAATATGTATAGACTTCATCTACCAGGTTACTTTTAATTACCTTTAGCCTGTCCTTTATGCTTCCATGCAGATACCTTCTTTATTACTGTTTTTGAGTAGCTAATAGGCCAAGCTGTTAAAAATTAGTTTATTAAAGTTTTGGTTCATTTTATAGAGATCTGTGAGTATTGCTAGCAGTGGCTGTTGCTCCTCTGAATTTGTATGTAGTAACTCCTCCTTATACATACACCCATTAAATGGTTATATGTAAAGGTCTTGAAGAAAAAGGTCTTGAAGTTTAATCTAAAGGAACAGATACTTCCCTACTCCATTAAATGCAGCAGGTAGCAAGGCCTCATTTTCTACAGTTTCCAGATCCCTGACTGGTGCAGCATTTTTACACCTGTTTTTTTTATACCTGCGGATTCAGGTATAAAACCCCTACCACTTGTTATAACTGTGTGAATGTGCTTTTTCTAACTGTTGAATGCTATCTGCAGAACCTACAAGTTCTTATTTCATAAACAGGCAAGATGAAAGCTCTGGCTGCCTTGTTTTGGAAGCTGAAATCAAGAGGACATCGTGTATTGATTTTGATGCAGATGATTCTAGTACTTGATTATACTGGAGCTTTTCTTGAACATCCATTTTCTCACATATGTAAGAGTTAATGAGAGTGGTGCTCACAGTTGGCATCATCTGGTAAGAGGACCTCTTGCTCAAGATAATAGTTAATATATGCTCATAGCAGGAGGGAAAATGGTAAAGGGAAGTTTAATACATTTGCAAAATTAATTTGCATAATTTTATTAGTTATTTAAGCAAATTATGTATGTAGCTGTCACACAAATATGTAATTATATATGAAATATGTCAGTCATATTACTATTTGATGAGGCATCCGGGGTGTTTCCAAGAGGCATGCCACTAGTTGTCCTACATTTATGAGTAATTTGTGTTTGAAATACAGATGCTTTATTTCACAATATTTCACAATTTCATAATTGCTTTGGCTTTCATTATCTGTAGCTATCTACATTGTTAGTACTATAAGTGTAGTTGCTGCTTTTATGTTGGCACTTCCTCAGCCTTACTCCAGGGGCTTTTGCTTTTTTGTAGAGTGCCCTGGCATTGCCTGAGGATAAATTGAAAGCATGTTCATTTCCCTCCCCAGTACGATTTTCAGTACCCTCTGGGGCCTACAATTTGAGCAAACATTAACAATATAGTGAAGTCGTTCTTTTCCTATTTTTTGTTTCAAGTTGCATTGTTATGATTTCTGCCAGATGCAGTAGAAAACATGAAGGAATACTTTGCCTTAAAGCAAAACAAGGCAGCACAATAGAAGGGATTCAATTTAGTCTGTAGACAATAAAAACGACGAAGCACACACAGCATAATAACTCAGTCAGTGTGCATAGTAACTGCAATGGTATTCTCTTGTTTTCCAGTTAGGTAAATGGAAGGAGCCTATTCTCAGTGATATTGGTGTGACATGAGGGGAATGTCGGATTTTTGGTCCTTAGATCTCTTTTCTATCTTAATTATGGTGCTGTTATTTGCAAGCAAAAGGAATTAAAATTCAGTTTAATTAACTTTACTATGCCTGTTAGCCTGTAAAAGGTGTGACTCAGGTCAGTGGCAATGTACCATTGTTAGTATAGTTATTGTGAAATGTACTAATATTTTAAAGTGTACAAATTTTCTTCCTAAAAGGAGTTAAAACCCACAAATATAAAATGGGAATATCAGCATGCCAACGAGGCGCAAAACACTTCAGAAGAAGTGAAAGAGGAACTCTTAACATACACCAGACAAAATACTTATAGCATGGTAACATAAGGGATCTCCAAGTCTTTGCTTTTTGACAGACATAATAACTTTGTCCTGCCACTTAGCTTCAACTGAGAGAAAAGAAGCATTGCCATAGAAGGACAGTTGTTCCTCCACCTTCCCTTTTTGGCCAGATGACTCGAAGAATATTGAAAACAAGACAGAAGAGCAAAGCTCAGAAGACACTCCTCTGGATAAAACAGAAAACGCATTTTGTGAGACCTTTGTTAGCTGTCGTCAAGTCAGCTGCTGACAGTGGTCAACATGATCCTGCATGGCTAACTGCTGAAGACTCGGCGCTGTTCAAAGTAAGATGGTGCTTTGTTTATTTTGACTTCAAAAACTTTTTACTTCAAAGTTTATGACAGCATGGTTAGACCTCAATTAAGGGTTACACATGCCTGTGCACACAAGAAAAGCATTTAATTGAGACGTTACACTGGGGTGATTTCTCTCTGCCTCCTAGGCTGCAAAACAGTTACAGACACTTCCTTGAAACCTTGCTATTGTGTCACCAGCAGAGACAGCAAACTAGGACTTTGTCTGCCATGTCTTTAACACTTGTAACTATGTTTATGGCTTCCCGAAGCAATGTCAAAATTGTTACATAAAAGCACTTGCAGATCCAGGAGGAAAGGTGAGCTTGAGATGTGCATTACATTGTGAAGACCGGGGTTTCTGTTTGTTTTTCTGTTTGTTTTGAGGTTTCTTTCCTCTATTTTAAATTCCTCATTGCTGTTAGTGTTTGGTAACACCACTTCTGTGGTTGTCTCATTTCTTGGTATTTTAGCAATGTCAAAGCAGGCAACCCTGCTATATAATAATTTTTTGTTAGGTCAGAATTTTCTGTCACAATTGTTGGTACAGACAATTAGGAAATAATTCCAGGATGAATCTTTACATGACTTCATGGCCGTGGTTTTTATCTACTGAAATAATTCAAAAGAAGCCTACTGCTGTGGTCCGTCCCCGCCTTTCCATCTGTTTCTGTTGTCGTAGGCATTGCCTGAAATAAAACTGGAGCAACAGCCTAGTCAGAAGCAAGAGGAACAGTGGAGCAAATCCCAACCCAGTGTCAACCACAGGGGGAAACACAGTAGGCAGAGAAATACGTTCCTCACAGCTAAATGAATCTGCAAGCCTGGATTCATGTACACTTATAGCATCTGTTTTGACTTTGGTGAGGCTGTGTGTAGGACTCTCAGCAAATCTGGAGAACTGGGACACTGAGTAATGGGAGCATTTTATTCTAACCGAGCTGAGGTGGTGGAATTTAATGTTACTTAAAAAATAGACTCTTGCTCATGGATATAAGAATACTATTCAAAACTTAATTACAGACAAGCTCTTTCTTAAAGAATCAGGATTTTGGGCTTCATCCCAGAATGGATTTAATGATGCTGAAAAAGGCATTCTATATATAGACCGGAACAAATGTCATTTTATGATACTAATATAATGATACTTTTTCAGTGTGTGTATCTCACTCATTTGAAAGAATTTCTTAAAACTTCACGTCCTCTTTTGTTAACACTTTGGAACACATGTAAATGTTAAGAATACACTGTGTTTGATGACACTTACAGGCCTTGGGACATACAGTATCTCCAGCCATACCTGTTTTACCACAACTGTCCCTGGTCCCAGCACACCCAGAGCCCACAACACCCGGCCTTTTTCTTCAAGCAGCAGCAGTTGACAGAACCAGTTGTAACCGTCGATCCAAGGACAACTGTGCAGATGCGTTTGGTGACTCCACTCATATCAGGTAACCTTTTACTTGTAGTTTTAAATTCACATTTTGCTATTGAAAATTAATTCTTAAATCTTTACTAGTGTTGCTTACTTTAAAATTTACTGAAAATAAGTGAAAATGATGGGGGAATAGTCTTTTACGAAATCCTCTACTCTTTAGAAAATAGTATATCCCCAGATGTTGTATTACTTATGTGCAATTGATTTTAGAATCATAGAATAGTTAGGGTTGGAAAGGACCTTAAGATCATCCAGTTCCAACCCCCCCTGCCGTGGGCAGGGACACCTCACACTAAACCATGTCACCCAAGGCTCTGTCCAATCCGGCCTTGAACACCGCCAGGGATGGAGCATTCACAACTTCCCTAGGCAACCCATTCCAGTGCCTCACCACCCTAATAGGAAAGAATTTCTTCCTTATATCCAATCTAAACTTCCCCTGTTTAAGTTTTAACCCGTTACCCCTTGTCCTGTCACTACAGTCCCTAATGAAGAGTCCCTCCCCAGCATCCTTATAAGCCCCCTTCAGACACTGGAAGGCTGCTATGAGGTCTCCACGCAGCCTTCTCTTCTCCAGGCTGAACAGCCCCAACTTTCTCAACCTATCTTCTACATAGAATTTTAAACACTCTCATCTTTGCATAGTGTCACTTATTTTCCATTTTGTCTTAAGACAGTTTGATCTCTGTACTTTGAGCTTGTAACAAATATTCACCTAAAATTTCATTTTAGATTTATTTACCAGGACTTCCAAGGACCAGTCCTAATCCTCAGACCACAGTAACTTCTTTGGCAGCGATGAACTCAGTGTAGAAGTTACTCTGATGCCCAGCTGCTAGTGTATGTCAAACCCTGGAAAGCAATGCTTGCATACTGCCGGGATTCAGCCCACATCACTTCTTCAGTTGTGGTGTTAAGAACAGCGAGATGCCTGGTTTTAAATGGGAGCTGAGTGTCACTACTGAACAGGTGCAAGTTGTATTTTCTTTATTGCTGAACTATTCTGCAATTGTTGGTTTACGTTTTTTTCAATATTTATTGTAAGTAACAGTAGCACTAAGCTACTTTTTCCCTCCCTTCTGCATTCCTGCCTTTGCACTGTGAGGATTTCCTTGCCTGTGCTCCAGGTGAGCAATCTATTGTTCATCCTTTAGCCAGATTTTCTCTGTGTATTTTTAACACTAAATCTTGCAGAAAAGGGGCAGCGCTATTACCTGCGCGGGCGGCAATTACTCTCTTCCAGTGGTCATTACGCTCCCATATCCGCACTGCAATAAAAGTTAGCTTTCTACCCTTGTCCCCGAGCCTCGTTCCTCCATGTGCTGAGCCCCATTTCCCGCCGAAGCCATACTCTGTCGCGACATAAACCACTGCCGACAGCGGCGCGCGGGTCCGTCAGCACCGCGGCGAGCCGTGCGGCTGCGCGCATGCGCTGTGTGCGGCGCAGGCGCGGAGCGCGGGGGGCGGGCAGCGGCGCAGGCGCGGTGCGGGAGCGGGGCGCAGGAGGCGCGGTTTGTCTCCTGCCGGCGCTGGTAGCGGCTGCGGCTCCGGCCGCCCCCCGCCCCCGCTTCCTGCCAGGAGCGAATGGAAACTCTGGCCCCGGCGCCCGCGGTAAGTGGGGCCCGCGGGCGCGGAGGGGCAGGGGGGGCGGCCGGGCCCCGCTCCTCACACACATCCCCCCATTCTCCGGCCCCGCACAGGCCTCGGGCCCGAGGCCCGGCGGCGCCGGTCCCGGCGGCGGGGGGGGGGGGGCGGCCGCGGAGGAACAGGCCTTCCCCTCGCCGCCGCTGGGGTGGGCGGGCAGGGCCGGCCGCGTCCTGGCGGGGTTGTGGTGGTGCCGCCCGGGGCGCTGGGGGCCGCTCTCGGCGGAAGAAGCCCCTCGCCAGCTTGGGGCGCCGGCTCGCGGCGGGGCCGGGTGCGCTGGGCCGGGCTGCGTCGCGCTGGGCCCGGGCGGGCCCCGGGCCGTTCGTTTAGTTCAGTTGTGGCACACAAAAGGCGATCCCTGCTCCCCGGGCAGGCGGCGGCCGGCAGTGCGCTTCCTTATCAGCGTGTAATTAATTAAGTGTTTTCACTCGGGCAGTAAACGTTAGCGAGGTATAGGTAATTAAAATAATAAGACCTTGTTACCGGCGATAGCTGGTATCATTTGAATCTTAATTATTTGATATTAGTGCCGTGAAAGAGTCACAATACCGCGAAGTATTGCAGTGTTATTAAATCTCTTGGAAAAGGTGCCTGTGAGGAGTGGAATCTCTTTTTCCCTTCCCGCTCTGCTTAGGTTCGAGATCCGAGGAGCGGCAGAGCCCGCCCGGAGCTGTGTGTTAGTCAGTGTGCAGGCTGCGCCCCGAGGTACCTCACTGGTACCCATGTATGGGGTCTTCCCTCTTAGCTAGCACGTGTGTGACAGTGCTGCTCTGCTTCCACTCTTTCACGTGGACAAGGGAATGAATCTCTCCATCCTCAGGGCTTGCGTGGATGGAACTACTAGTAGATGCATATAGCCCAGGAGAGGGAAGCGGAGGAGTTGTGTGTGTTCGCTGCCACAGCAGCAGCAGTCGAGGAGCGAGGCAGTCACCGCTGCACCGCGTCCCTTCCCAGCCGTGCTGTTGCCACTTGTAACCAACTTGGAGTAAGGAGCAAAGACGAATGGCGGTGTACTTGTAAGTGTGTTTGCCCTGAAATACCGAAAGTGAAACTCGTGTTTTCAAAACACAAGGGAGGTTTTGAACAAACAAAAATCACGTTTCATTTTCCCTTTTTCTGCCGCTGCTATGTGACACCCAGCACTGAATGTACCTGTCAGCTCGCATCAGTGGAGTTTTTGTGAGCGATTGAAATACAAAACCAGAATGTTTTTTGATTTGGGGATAGCTTGGGTCAATAAATGGCATTCTAAATGACATGCAGGTTTGCATTAATTTTCATCTCTTTAAAGGGGAGAAAGCTGATTTAAATATCAAGTACAATGCTTTTTCAGACATCTCGATCATTTGAAGATTTTTCATTG